CTAAAATCTGTAAATATTTAATATTGTATAAATTCAGATGAAACATACATGAGCTAATATTTTCATGTGATTTTGTATGCATTTAGATGTTAGTTACTGTATATGCAAAAATATAAATCATTGTTAAAATTCATGAAAAATAAATTTCAGAAAAACGTGCTTGACAAATGCATACTACAGGGTTGAAATGCAAAAGAATATGTTTGATAAGTAAAAAGATGTTTGAATATATAACTTAAGTGAATGAATTTGTTGCTAAAATTTAAAAAATTGGATATTTTCATTGAAAATAAATATTTAAATATATCTAAGCCTTATAATTTCTCAAATGTAGTACAATTAAACATATGTATGCATTTTTTATTCCATTGTGTACAACATTTCAATATGAAGTTTGTTCACAGATTTCATCATGTTACCAATAAGAATTACATTTTCATTTTGTTATCTATAAATTTCACAGTCTGTAAATTTTTGTTCTATATAAATAAAAACAAAAAGGTAGGTCTTTAACAGCGAGAATCTTGAAAAATAAAAAAATTCTGAATTTATAAATTTTACAATTTTCATCAAAAAGTTGTATAAATTTCATTATTTTAAAAAATACTTATATTATCTATGACCAAACTGATGATTTAATCAATTAAAAAAAACTTCATGTTTTCTATATTTTTTTCAAATTATTTTATCAAGAAAAGAAGTAAAATAAAAAATGATTTTCTTTGCATATAAGTATGGATTTTTTATTCATAATGATTTTAATGATTTGAATTTTATTTGAAAATTACATGAGCCAAATTTTAGATTTTTTTATGACGTGAAAATAATAAATAAATAAATAAATATTATCAATAATTGGTTATCATTTATGGATATTTCCCTTTTAAATTTATTATTTAATTAATAATGATAATTTTTATGAAAACATTATTATAGATGTGGATTCATTCAATTCTAAAGAAGGTTAAAGTTGATTATTAAAAATATTTTATTTTACAACAAATTATAAAAAAATTATGCAAGTGATTTATCTTTAAAATTTTGGTTTTAATTAATTGATAAATGAAACAAAATCTCTAATGAAAGATACTTGCAAAATTCAATATACAATTACAAGTTAGTGAGAATTTGAATAATGATCATCACAAGTGTGTTAAGTATACAGCAATTACAAAATAAGCATGACTATCATTTATATGGAATACAAAATAATTCTAAAAATATTAGATTATTTCATACAAGATTATTTTATCTTTATAATAATTATTAAAATAATTTGATATAAATAAGATTCCAAAGTTTTTGTGAAATTTTAGTCTTGATTTGAACAAACTTGAAGATCAAGATTTGATTGAGTGAATGATTCCGAAGTAAAACTTGTTGTAACAAACAATTTGTTTTTTTACCTTGATACATTAGTGAAACTATGATTTAAGTTTTGACTAAAATACAGAAAATTATGCAAGAAAATTAACTCAAAATGTCATGAAGATATTTAGCTTATTATCTTTTCATTGAAAAACTTAGAAGAGATGATGTATATGATAGATTGGATATATTGTTTCTTAATTTGCATCTATATCATGATTATATCTATATTAATCGATTTAAAATTGATTTAGTTCCATGAAAACCGATTGATTTTGTACACTAAAATCAATAGAGTCAAAATCAGATTGAACTTTCAGAATATTGGAATGAACACATAGCATCTTTACACATACATTGAGAATCAAAATTTTCAAATAAACCTTTTAAATAAATAGCATGTTCATTAGTTGTTATTATAACTAATGACAATTAATTATAATATTAGTTGTATTAATTATGACATTGTTCATAAAGATTCATGAAGATGTGGTAACCTCATCTAAAAATTTAAATTTAAAACAAAGTCGTGTATAGTAAACTTGTGATCAGCAATGACCGATTGAATCATGGAGTACAAAAAAGAATATTTTGTCTACAGGAATGTTTTAAAAAATTGTTCATAGGTTTTGAATCCAAAGCCACATGGACATTTACTTCTAAACCATCTCTATGATACAGACATGGTTATAATAGTCATTTGTCTAAATTAACTAAATATGTTTAATTTAGTCTACTAAAACAAATTGATTTAGACTACTTCAAAACGTCAATTTAGGCTTAATGAGTATACCAAAAAGTTAATTTAGACTAGTTTAGTCTCCTCAAATTTTTCTTTATTTCAGTGATTTTCAGTTCAAGCATTGAAAAATGCTTGAACTGTTCAACGGTCATGTGACATGACCGTTGAAGATATTATTGGATGTTTAAAGTCAAGAACACGTGAACTAAAAACTATCAAAAAGAAGTTATTGTTGAGAGCCTAAAACCTGAATGCATGGCTGCTAAGATCACATGTATAGGGCTCAGATCAAAGAGAAAGCATCTTATTGGGAGCAAGATTGACATTTTAGTTACAGCAAGAAAAAGTGTATGATCATGGTGAGATAATATCAAGATCCTCATTGAAATTCTTAACACCTCATATCTCAAAGAGCTGCAGACATGGAAACCCTGCTTTCAAGTCAAAAGATGACACACTCTGTTATCTTTAGCTTTCTTACATTTTTCCAATATCATCATACGAGATCCGTTGACAAAAAATTCTTGACATAGATTGTTACGCATAATAACATTTCTTTAGTGGAAGTTGGCACTGAGAGAAGCAAGGTAAAATATACTAGAGTCCAAATTCTGAGGCTATCACCAGTTGTAACAAATCAACACAGTGGTTTCCAAAAATGTACAGGCCAATAGCATTCTCAGTGCGCACTACCCTTTCATTTGATAGTGGACAGAGTGGACTAAAACGAAGTAAGACGTTCATGAGGAAAGTACTAAATTGCAAAAACAGAGCGAAAAGCATCAGCGTTCTCTATCACAGTAGATTCTGTTTTGGCTATGTACTTCCCAAGATTATAAATCGGAGAAGGGTTGTGGAATGTTTAGCTGACTCGTGCTTTGACTTTGATTATCATGCATGACTCATGAGAATATGCACGAGTGATTGATGTATGTCCGGACCCGTAGACCCCGCGCGGGTACTGAAGAGAGGACATGAAACCCCGTCGTGTAGACTTGTTCCGTTCTCTTGTTGGAGCGGCGATTCGCGTCGAAGATTCATTCTTCAATGAGGTGTTGATGGATGAATCAATCGAGCAAAAGGGCCTCGAAGGCTCGGAGCAGAAGCAAGGGGATTGATTCGTCACTGGAGAAGTTCTGCAGTGGCTGGCTGCAAAGAATATAGGCGGGGCGAACAGTGGGTAAATAAATTGTAATAATCTGAGCAGGGATCGTCCGGCAGGCAGGCAGATGGTTGTCGTCAGACCATTAGACACCGATAAGAAGCGAGCAGAGAATCCTTGGAGGTGTGTCGTTCAACCGTACCGCTGCCTCCCGCTTGCGTTGGCATACGTGGGACGATATGGCAGTGTGGCACGGGATGCGTATGCGATGATGCGAGATGCGCATCTGATCTGCTGGGCCCGATAGACCAACGACTGCAACAAAAACAGTGGGCTGTGCATGCGTTCAGGATGACGTAAGCCGGCGGCATCAGCATGTCACATCCGCTCTCCCTTCTGCCAGTTCGATCCCGGCCCTGCGTCCATGATTCGTTGAAGATTCCGCCGGTGTACGTCTGATCCTCCTACCTAATGCATGCCATGCCACTGTGTACTACAGAAAGATACAGTATGCATCTTTTTCAATTAGCACCGCGACAAGGACGTTGCCCCAGCCCACGAGACGAGGATCGTCATGGCAAGCGACGGCTTCCAGCCGGTTGTTGAAAGGGCTTTGGCTCAGAGTACCAACCGCTGGACAAGCCGTCGTTTCCAGCTTGCCCAGCGGTTGGTACTCTGAGCCGAAGACCTTTTGAACAACTACAGTCCTCTACCAGCAGCGTCGTACTAAACTTTCTTGCCGCTACAGGCTCGCTGATTCCCCGCTGCGGAGATGACAGCGTCGTCGTCGTCGTCGAGCCTGGGGGTGGAAATTCTCATTCTCGTAAGTAATGCGCCAGTGGGTGGAAATGCGTTTCTGCGCCTCGTCTGCCATAAAGCAGGCGTCGAGCTCATCATCATCATCACCGATCGGTTCCTTGTCGTCGCAGGATCGGGGTCCCACCGTGGCTCGGGCCAGAGCACTGGAGGCTCGATACTGTCCGCCCGTGAGCCCAGCAGCCGGCGAGCCCCAGAGGCTGGATGACGGGCGAGGGGACCGCGGACGCGCGCTCTCGGAGAATGTGAAGCAGCGGTCGAGCGTTAGAGCTTGCGTGGTCGGCTAGTGTGTCTCCCGGTGAGCACGAACGGACGGAGCTTCTCTGTTCGGGCGACCGACCGGCCCGGGACTACTTCCGACGGTGCGTCAGAGCGTCTCCGCCCGATGCTCGAAGAGCCGGGGATCCCGTACTGTGCGTGCGTACGGCCCCCGGCCTCGGTTGCCCACTGGGCTCCTCCGCCGCTGCTGACGAATGCGAGGCGACGCCATGCCTCCGTTCGCCGGGAGGGGACCGCCCTCCTGTTTTCGGTCCCTCAGACATCTATTAGAGCCCGCCGAGTCTCCTCCCCTTTCCTCCGTTTCGGGGCTCGAGCTGCGGACTCCGCATGCCATGCCAGACGAGACTCCGGGCTGGTCTTGATCGGCCCCCTCCGACGCAGCAGCCACCAGGAGATTGAGCACGAGGGACAGAGAGAGAGAGAGAGACAGAAAAGAGATAGACAGTCAGAGAGAGAGAGAGAGAAGCTGTTGTCTGAGAAGAGGCAGCGCCGATCGCTGTATCGTTGAGCGCTCTGAGGGAGCAGGGGCAGAATTCTCTCTCTAATTGTTGTGGGTGGAGATTCGGCTGGGATTTGGGCGATGCTGCCAGAGAGGATTTGGGGCCAGTGCATGAGGAGGAGGAGGAGGCCTGCTGATGGCCGTCATCCTCCGAGCTAGTTAGTCAGTTAGGCGTCAGTCAGCTCGTTGCAGTCGTGCGGCTTTAATATGAAATCGCCGACGCGCTTTCATCCAATTCACCAGCGTTGAACGTTGGTCTCTTGCACCGCGTCGACGAGGATCCTTTGCTCGTCCCTCACGTTCGAGAATTGCGCAATTTTTGAACTCTGCTCGCGGGATTCCCATGGAAACCGAGTCGCAAGAATCCGGGCAAGTGATGAACGTAGAGAAAGCGGACGACTGCAACATGGAGGAGAATGTAGCTCCGAGTTGCGGACGGGAGGTGGAATTCCTCTTTCCCGTCTGCCCGCAAGTACCCTCTAATCTGAAAGAATTTGTGGCTGTACCAAATCCAACCGTGGCGAATTCAGACGAGAATCAGAAATCGCCTGCCATAATTGGCGCAAACGTACCTTGTATGACGGAAGAAAACTTGGCCAAGCGAAAGCGGGAAGAAATGAATGCTGTTCAGAATCCCACGTTATCTGAGGTCGAAATTGAGGACCCGCTGTTTGCTACCCGAACAAAGAAAAGGCAGCGGACCGTTGAAAAGCCTAAGAAAGTGAATGGCATTGTGAAGAAAGTGATCAGGAAATCCTCGACTGTACTGGAGGCTGAAGAAGATCCTTCCCTTGTTAAAGATCCTGAAGGAAAAGCTCGGAGGTGCTTTTGGAACTCCATGCTTTGACATTCCAAAATGATGATGATGTGGATGCTTGCTTCAGCTCTGAACTCTATCTGCACTGCGTATTGTCCTTCTCTGTTCGTTGATTTGGCGAGATTTGCAGTCACAGACTGCAGGCATTAGCGCAAAGAAGCCCGATCTCACGAAGGAAACGCCTGTCAGATCCCCAGCTTCTTACTGTCGTGACCATTTGTTGGTGTTGGCGATTCTCTGAGTAGCATTTAACTTTTACAGATATAATCTTTCGTTTCTTGCGCAGATACCAGCTTGAGGTTCTGGTGGAAGCGCAGAAAAGAAACACTATCGTTTACTTGGAAACTGGATGCGGCAAGACGCTCATAGCCGTCTTGCTCATGAAGTCGCTGGCGCAGAAGCTGCGCATTCCCGAGAAGAAAAAAGTGGCAGTTTTCCTTGCTCCAACTGTACACCTGGTTAGACAGGTATGAATTACGTCCACGGAGCCGACGATCTTCTTCGGCTGGCAAAGCTGTATGATACTTGCTATTTGTTTGCGTGCAGGGTTGGCTCCTCGCTTACCAGCAGGCAGACACCTATATTGTCTTGTTCATTTAGACTTCTTTTCTCAGTCTCAGCAAATTCAGGAGGTCATGCATATTCACGCTTCTTTGTTTAGGACCGGGCGTGCTTAGGACTTCATAGCTACTTTCGGGCACACCGTGAAGTATTATATAGAGAGGGCGATTGTCGGTAACTTATTTACTATTCAGGTTTCATAATTTGCATCTGACACCGTAGCCTTCTTTGTCAACAGCAATCAAGCGTGATCAATCTACACACTGACTTGCGAGTAGGGGAGTATTTTGGCTCGTTGGGAGTCGACACCTGGAAGCCAGAGAAGTGGCAGGAGGAAATCAACAATCACGAGGTACACTGAGTTCTCCGCACGATGCTCATCAACATGTTGAGAGAAAAATGTGTACTTTGTGGGAAGGAGTGCGTTCATATTTGCAATTATTGTCTGTAGTCCACATCAAGGCCCCCTTATGTGACAAAGATTGCTTTACTGATGCAGGTTTTGGTGATGACCCCACAAATTCTAGTGGATCTTTTAACCCACGGAATAATCAAATTAGAGGTCATCGAACTCTTAATTTTCGATGAGTGCCACCATGCTCATAAGAAGCATGCTTACTGCAAGATCATGGACGTACGTGAGAACTCTCGTCGTTGTAATATAAAAGGGGGTGAGCTTTAGAGTTGAGGCGTCGGAGAACAGGGAAAGCAATCTTGGTTTCATGGAGAGTAGGACTAGACTTGATGTGAAGATTAACTTAGGTTCTATTCTGAGCTTTACTAGTTGGCTGGAATCTACTTTATTTGGGTCAAATTTCTATTATACCATGGCGTCTGATTTAAGAGGAGTCATGATGATGGCTGTATCTTAGATATGTGCCGTCAAAGCGCTGACATAATGTAAGTATGAATGATATGATGCAGAGGTATAGAGATGTACCAGAAAGCTGTAGGCCTAAAGTGTTCGGCATGACAGCTTCCCCTGTCATTCGAAAAGGTTCGTTGTTACCTAGTATTGCACCTTGAATATATTGCCAGTCTTACAGTCGCTTATCATAACCACCGTGTGCTGTCCATCTTGTCATCTGACCAGCTCTGATTTTGCTTCTGTGTGCAAACAGGAGTAAGCTCCGGTGCAGACTGCGAGCTGCAGCTTGGACGGCTAGAACAGAAGCTTGATGCGAAGGTGGGTGATAGGTAGTTAAATGCCTGCCTTTTCATTGGTCAGACTGGGAATGTGTTTCTGACATCCTTTCGATTACTAGCTAACTGAATTACTATTTGCTCAGTACGAAGGCCATTTGTGTCTTCAGATCTTGATTCCTTCACCTCGCGAAGAACAAGCGAAGAAGCAAGTCTTAATCTCCAAACAGCTCGATGAGTAGGAGGTTTTAAAATGTGTGACGAGAACGTGATCTGTGCTTGCTTGACAGGTATTTGCTGTTAAAGATAGATCAGAGTTGGAGTCCTTCGTTCCGACACCACTTACACAAGGAATTGACTTCGACACTCCGACCGTAGATGTTGAAGAGTACAAATTAAAGCTTCAAGCTATTGCAGAAAAGGTATAACAAGCCCATCATCTCTCCCTTTGTCTTTGCCTGGACCTAATGTGCTTCACCGCTTTCCGGAAGATTTTAAGTAATAAAATTAATTTAGACAGTGTACCCTGTTCTTGATGATGGAGGCAATTTGCCATGCAGTATCAACAGTTCGGGAAGGCAAGACATGGAGGGAATGACGAACAGTTTAAAGATTATGAGGAACTGAGCAAAAAGTTACAGAAGAGTATCAATCGGTTCTACAATGCACTTGTCTACTGTCTTGTGGAACTAGGTCTCTGGTGTGCGCACAAGGTAAGAGGGCCTTCAGTATGCCACTGTAGGCACTCTGGCATTTTGACATGTTTTATGTAATGCTCGCTGTCCTAAAAACAAGGTAAGTTTTGGGAAAGGAGAGAAGAAAGGAGAAAGTGATCTGTTTGTGCTTTCGAAATCAGGCCGCGGAACTTCTTTTGAAGAACGACTTCAAAGATATACTCTCGGAGCCCGATATGGATGTTGTCGCTATCTTGAAGAGTGCGAAGGACAACTTTCTGAAGGAGGCCATAGATGTCTTGAAGTCTCCGCTTCCTAAGGGTCTGTGCACAGTATCTTCTCCACTATGACGATAGCATCGTGACCATCATCGCTTACAAAGTAACGTGTACCGTCTCTTTTGTAGTTCGATAGATTTTGGATTTCGGTTTCTTGGAACTAACTAAACACTCTTTGTTTCAGATCCCTTTAGTACGGACCAGGAAATGGATAAAGCAGTGATACTGGGTCAGCTCACGCCCAAAGTCAAGAAGTTGGTTGATGTTCTCGTGAAATACAGGTCATCAATATTTTCCGAGTTGGCTTCTCGCAATAAGTGTCGCCAGGATGGATGGATTGTTTGTCCATGTATATTATATGGGATCTGGCCCTCTCAGTCACGAGATGAAATTTACTGATGGCATCGACGCACATATTCTTTACGTATACAGTTTGATCTCTTCATTTCAATATACGTCAGCTGTTGACTATCCACCTAGTAAACTTTATCGAGAGGTAGCTGAATGCTCCTTTATCTGGTACAGGGAGGTGAAGGATATGCGCTGCATTGTATTCGTTGACAGAGTGGTCGGGGCACTCGTTCTATCCAATTTAATAAATAGTATAAAGATTTTAGCTTTCCTCCGCTGCGAGTATCTTGCTGGTATCAACGGTGCTCTTGACGCCCCAACACGCACTTTCCAAGATCAAGTCATTCTGAATTTTCGAACGGGCAAGGTGTGTTCATCTACTTTCGATGGTAGATACACATGGAGGATCTGTCGCCACTGTTCTTGACTTAGATCTAGTTGGTGGGTAATGCTTGAAGCTCAGTCCATAAATAAGTAATATACAATTTAACGTCGCGTGATTCTACTATTTTTTTTGCTAATTTTTTTTTCTCCGTCCACAGCTCAACCTTTTGGTAGCTACAAACGTTGCTGAAGAAGGTCTCGATGTACAAGGCTGTCATTCCGTTGTTCGTTTCGACATCTGTAAAACTGTCCGTAGCTATATTCAGTCTCGTGGACGAGCAAGGAGGCCTGGTTCCGATTACATTGTGTTTATGGAAAAGTAAGTCTTCGAATATGACGTTTACACATGTATGCAACTCCTAGGAACTCAAAACATTCACACACATATAGATGATTACAAAGTGGGAATGAATGAGCTGATTTCGAAATAATATCAGTGGCGGCGTTTTCAGTCTCCTGACCTCCCTGACAATTACAGGGGAAATGACAAGCAGAAGGAGGAGTTCAAAGCAATAGTGCAAAGTGAATCTAAAATGATAGAATCTGCTCTAGATAGAGCAGGTGATCAGGTTACCCAGATCAAGCCTCCAACAGTTGTACCTGTCGAAGTTTTTCGTGTTCAAAGCACAGGGGCATCTTTGACTACAGATTCCAGCATCGCTTTCATCTACCGATTTTGCTCGAAGTTACCTGGAGACAAGTAATTAACTTCTCACACCGTAGACCCCCTTGGTTCCAAACTTCAACTTAGTATGTCCTCTTACTTTACATCGTCCGAGCATAGACTATTTGTTCATACACCTCCACCTTGCCTATGTTATGTTGCAGGTATTATACCCCAAGACCCGAGTTTATTTTTAGCGAAGAAGCGGACAAGATGCACATTTGCACTCTGAAGCTGCCACCGAATGCTACAATTCACGAGTTAGTTGGACCTAAAAGGAAAACAGCAGTGCTAGCAAAGCAAGTGGTTTGCCTTGAAGCTTGTAGGATGCTGCACACCCTGGGTGCTATCACTGACCATCTTCTTCCCGTCATCGATGATGGCAAAGTGGAGGAGGAAGATATAATGAACCTAAAAACGTTGAAGAACCGCGGAGCAGGTACGGATCTGCATTTGTTAACGTGGTTTTGGATTTTTTTTTGAGATTGACGCCGTTTTGTAAAGTACTCAGCAGAGAACTTGACGTTAATACTTAAACTCATTGTTCCAGGTACAACCAAGCAGAAAGAGCTCCATGGCACAGTAGTCGCTACAAAACTGAGAGGATCCTGGGGTACCACAGATAAAGGGCACACGTTTCATGCGTACAGTCTTATCTTCTCTCCTGAGGAACATGAAACAATCGTTTATGCCAATTTCGCATTTCTAGTTGAGACCAAACTGGACGATGATGTGGCAAGACTCGAAGTGGAATTAGCATTGAAGGCAGGAAAGATGGGAAGAGCGAAATTTTATCCTGCTGGTGAAGTTGCCCTTACAAGAGAGCAGGTAAGCAAGAAGTGTTAGAGGCCCACATAATGCTTAACGTAGTATTTCAGTGAACACAAAGCCAGTTGATGGATCTGTAGAGAGGGTGACTATGGTTTGTGCAGCTTATTATTCTTGCAAGGGCAAAGCAGATTGGAATGATTCTAAATCATTGCAATGTCGCCAGATGTAAAGAGTTTAATCACTGCCTTGTTTCGGAAACCTATTAACTCTTAACTTGCCCTGACAGATCAAAGACTGCAAGGATAGCCAGGAACTTTTTTTCAATGGAATGTTCAGTAAGCTTGTAACTCGAGCTAGCAAAGGAGTCGCACTTGAACCAAGCAAAGGACTCGTCACCCTTACACCCCACAAGTCTTTGGTGATTGCCACCGATGAGGATAGATCGCGTATATGGGACCAGAACAAGATGTATCTTCTCTTGCCCCTTCTTCACACCTTAGATGGGGTAAAAGTGGCTGATGCTATTTCTTCATCAGCTATATATGCTCAACCAGATATCGACTGGGAATGTGTAAGCAGAACTGCAGAAGCCGCTCGATCATTCAGGTCGATTTACACGCCTGCTGTAGGCAATTCTACAAGCATATCTGAGGAGGGTTTGGAGATTCAACCCCCTACGACCTCCCCACAAGTGGAAAACGGGAATCTCAAGATGGCCTTTGGAGTAACTGCAAGGGTTTCCAAAATAGTCGATACCGTTGTCCTAACGGTTCACACAGGGATGCTCTACTGCATAACAAAAGTTTTACATAATAGGACTGCCAAGTGTCCCTTTCCAGAGAGCAATGAAAACGAAGACCAGAAATTCAGCTCTTACGGTGATTACTTTCGACAGAAGTAAGTTTTAGGAAGTAGTGATTTATTATATCTAGTAATGGTGTCTAATGAGCTTCACTTTGTGACTGTCATAATTTTTCAATTCTAAGACTCTCGATCACGAGATTGGTTTGAATCATAACTTTTTGTTTAAAATTACTTTCAGGCATAAACAGATCTTGCTCTATGCTGAGCAGCCCATGCTGCAAGCCAAACAAACTCATCGTCCGCGTAATCTTCTCGCCAGGAATTCTGTCAATGGGTCGGGTAAAGGTAATCCTCAAATGTTGTAAAAACAATGGAATTGCACGCAAACATTTATACTTTCTGATCTGCAATTTTTTATGAAATAGATTTGTTCGTAAAAACTCGATCATTTTAGCTTCTAGGTTATTTGAGTTGCATCACAGTTCACATGCTCTCTTGCTGGTTCTTTCTTTTTTCCAGGGAAGAAGAAATCCAAGGGTAACTCTGAAGAATCAGAAAATTGCTACATTGAACTTCCTCCAGAGCTCTGTATCGTCTTAGGAGTCTCTGATGCTGTTGTGCGATCAGCTTATCTCCTTCCTTCAGTTATGCATAGGCTCGATGCTGCTCTGGCAGCTAGTCAGCTGCGAGAGATGATAACAAAGGACTTTCCACACCCGGTTATCCCAGTCATGCGGGTGAGCATCTTTCCATACAATTTACTGCCGAAACGTAGAGAAGCTAAAATCTAGTCGTGCTAACATAGATTGTTTAGGGGTTCAATTGCAAATGCAGAGTTGTAATGTAGTATTTGTGTTTCACTTGATCATGTAGATTGTGGAGTCTTTGACAACACTGAGATGCCTGGAGGAATTTTCTCTTGAGGGTTTGGAGCTCCTGGGGGATTCATTCTTGAAATATGCCTGGAGCAAAAGTTTGTTTCTCACGCATCATGAGAAACATGAGGGTCAATTATCTGCCAGACGTTGTCGCGAAATCTGCAATGCAAAACTTCACGACTTGGCATTAAGGCGTGACCTGCCTGTAAGCTCCTAGCTGTTGCCTTCGTTGACTTTGGTTTACTCTACTATTGGTCATACTAGAATTGCTGCTTTGGACATATATATATCTGCTGTTTACAAATATATTGACATATACTATCAAAGTTTTACGTGAAGGGACCTTGTTACCGTCAAGTTTGTGATAAAATACTCTATTTGTGATTCAGCAATATATCCGCGACGAGGTCTTCGATCCAAGCCGCTGGGTTCCTCCAGGAATGCATTGCCCCAAAATACTTCTTTGTCGCTGTGATTTGAAAAACCTCAATCACGATCAGACAGAAGATGCAGAAGATGACGAGAAACCGAAGCAAATCCAAAAGGTTGTGAAGATTGGTAAAAGTTGTGCCAATGGTCATCGTTGGTTATGCTCCAAGACCATCTCTGATGTCGTGGAAGCACTCATCGGTGCCTACCTAGTGGATAGCGATGATTCTGGAGCTCTAAATTTCATGACCTGGGTAGGGATGGAGGTCAAAGTAGAGCAGGCATTGGTAGATAGAGCCAAGGGCTACACAGCCTGTGATCCTACAGTCAACGTTGGTGCTGACTTAAAAGGGCTTGAAGTTCGTTTGAATTACTCTTTTATCAACAAGGCACTACTAGTGGAAGCCATAACTCATGCTTCTCATCAAGAGCTCAAAGGAGGCTTTTGTTATCAGGTACTTCAGTACGTTTCACTTTTGAGTTATAGAACGAAACTTTAGGAATAACGAGGTCCATTTACTATATTCACTCTGTCATCATAATGTAATATAAACATTTACTTTATTATAATAGAGTGAATATAGTAAATGGACAACGTTGTTGCTAGAGCAGCATTGATTAGAAATGTACTGTAATATACATTCGCGGAGAGACTAATGAAGCTATTGGAGCTCACTCGTCCGTATCGTTCAGTGATGTACTGCATTTGGATAGAGCAACAACGTTCGAAGTTTATGGTCACATATCTATTTTCTGTAGGATAAGAAGTAGTTTCCATCATTATTCAGGTTCTTACAGTGAGTGAATTGCAATGTTAATACCCTTTTAAACGTTTGCACCATGCAACAGAGGCTGGAGTTTCTAGGAGACGCTGTGCTGGACTATCTCATCACAAGACATCTGTACTTTTCACATCCTGGTTTGACTCCTGGCCGGTTGACGGACCTTCGCTCAGCTGCGGTGAACAACGAGTGCTTTGCTCGCATTGCAGTGAAACATTGCCTGAACAAATACCTGAGGCACGGATCTGGTTTTCTCCTTAAGCAAATTGAGGAGTTCGTGCAAATCATTGAGCAGTCCGGTGAAATCCAAAAGACCTCATCGTTTGGCTGGGATGGAGTGAAAGGACCGAAGGTAAGTTCACCATCTGAGGTTCGTAATTCTGGCGCAAAATTACAGTAACTTTGCTGATGTAAACGAGAATTTTGCATCTTTACAACTGTGGAGATGGTGCACTTATTGCAGGTTCTGGGAGATCTGGTCGAGAGCATAGCTGGAGCTATTCTTGTGGACACAGGCTTCGACTTGGAAACAGTGTGGGTTGTCATGAAGCCTTTACTTAGTCCAATTGTCACCCCGGAGACTCTTCCTCTCCATCCTGTCCGAGAGCTGCAAGAACTATGCCATCTCAAAGACTACAGTGTGGTATTAAATGTGGAGCAAGAGAATAAAATGTCTCGGGTTACCATTGACGTTAGTATCGGAGACAAGACTCTATCTGCCACTTCATGTCAAATGCAGAAGAAGACTGCGCAGAAGGATGCTGCACAGCAAATGCTTGCTCTACTTAAGGTACATTTGTCGCTTGTGGTGAGCTCTCATGGTTTGCTAGGTTCTTTGGTATGTAATGTGATTAACTTTATAGTGCTCTAACTGCAGATTGAAGGTATATGGCACCCCTGGAAAGCCACAGTGGTTGAATGTCCTCATACTCCAGCGAAAGTGGTGGAGCAACCATTTGTGCCTCCTGGTTATAAGCGAAAGCTTGACAAGATACGTGAGGCAGAGACTCGTGAGGAGAAGAAAGTGAAAGTCACGTTTGAAGCTCCACAGGATTTGAATTTTGTAAATCCTCAAGAAAACGTCAACATGTCCTGTAGTGCCGTTCTGCTCTGCTCAGATGAACATCGGAAAGAGATAGAATCGGAAGGTCAAACGGTTGTAGTACCTGCCTGACCGGGCTCTCTCGTTCTATTGGAGAGTTTCTACGGCAGGAATTTGTCAAAAGTGGGTTTAAGGAGCCGTGACAATTTTGTAGATATTGTCTCTTTGCTCCCAGGGAATATTCAGGCAATGAGCTAAGAGTTGTGACAAGGATGGCCAATCCAATTCTCACTTTTAACAACTTGTATCTAGAGGAATATTTAGTGCTTCGAGAAAATCAGAACAGTAGACGTTTGAGAGGTGAGGAGTCCTCATTACCCACTAGTCCTTTACAGCTCTCAAGAGCTCAAACTCCCCCACTCACCTACTGTAATGTACATATTAATCACGAACAATACACAAAGTTTTACACCGCATGGTGATCTCAGTTTTGGTGACCTTCATTCGAATGACCTTATTGTACATCTAGATATGTGTCTGATTCACCATGTACACCATGCATGGTGTACATGGTGAGTCAATGAGTTCCAGGGTACTCGAGCGCAAAAAAATGCATGGTCTTCTTAGCGAGTCAGCCCACAGTTGTTCAGTATCAGTGACCGGGCCGATTTTGCATGAGGTATGGCTTGAGCAAATCCATAGCGTAGTCAGTGTTCTTATCGTAAATAAAACTAATACCCACTCCGGTTTGTACAAGGCAGTACTTGTCTGGCTCAGCAAAGTTAGTTGAGTTCATGATCAATTCGTGCCATTGCTGCTTGAGTACGCTGGGTTATAATATATATGAAATGTTGCGGATGTAGACATTGCAGTCTTTATTACATTGGACAAGATGGGAAATTCTCGCTAACCTCGTTCAACGGTGCATAGATGCGAAATGCTCTGTGCACTTATTTTAAATTCAAAAGTTACAGAGAAGTCCTCTGTTTTCTGTTTAGGCTGGTTAAATCATATGCTACCTCACACTAGCCCGTCAAAGGCACCAGGTTGCTGGTTTCAGTTCATAGCATCAAGGAAGGACATAAGACGAAAAGCATACGAGCTCTAGGCATCGGCAGTTTGGTCTGGAGGTCAATGCACACAGCCATTGCAGTACTTGGAGTGAGAAATGTCCCAAGATTCTCCAAGAATCTCCTCTGACATCAAGATTTGCGTAAGGAATGCATTGATTTATTTACAGCGCTGTAGTGCTCACCTTACCTCATCCAGCCAAATTGGCTTGTTCCCACCAGTGTTTCCAATTAACAAGCAACAGAAGGCTTGTTTGTCGGTTTTTATGTGCATGCAAGCGTTTAACTCACTGTAACTCAAGTACAGCGATTGTCGATTGGGATGAAAGTTAGGACTTTCCATCATACGAAGCAACGTACTGGAATTGGTACGCTCTCCCGACACAAAAACAACACTGGATGCTTTAGCGCATGGCGATGTGAAGTAGGTGCTAGTCGTCCTGAGGAGGCCAGAAGAAGACGGCATCGGTTCGAGCCTATGGAAGTCACGGTGGTTGCACTTTTAGTACTTATACCGGAATGGAATGACGCCAGCTGTTATGAATCGCGAGATTGAGTTCGTACAGTAGCAGGAACAGGACATGCATAGATCTCTAACTCCATAGACGGAACATAAATTTTAACGTTTTCCATCCAGCTTGGAAAGGCGAGATGAAGGGGGAGGAGACCTGGAGGGCTGTCGTAAGATTGAAAAAGGAAAAAGGACACGAGCAGGAGCTTGAAAGTTAGAACGCACTCTCTCTCATCAGCCAGATGAATCGAGTCGAGTAACGTCCTTCGCCCCTGCTTGTACTCTTCGAAAATTCCGTGGATTCGATCCGCATCGATGCTCTTTGCGCATGGGGAATGTTAAGGCGGCGTGATTATCTGCCTTACCTCCAAGCAACGACGTACATCATTAAGTTACGTTGTTCGTTGTTGCTGGATCTTAATCCATCCAAGACTCATGACGGAAATCAAGAAAGTGTAGAATACATTCAGTTGATTGAAGATTAATGAAAAACTGCAAACTTCTCTCCACATTTTGTTTTTTACCATCAACTCTTCTACCTTCACTTTGTTCCCTCATATGCGTCGACTTTCTTGCTATGTATGGTAGTTTGGAAATGAGTAAATGCAGCTGACGAACGAGCATACCAAAAATAAAGTCAATGATAATTTTCAATACTTGGCCCGTTGATCTCGCTTATGGTAGTATATATCTTGCAATCTGGTACGCCTCACGTATAATGCTCCCTCCCATTCAGTTGATAAGAAAATGATTTGTATTGTTATATTTGTTGAGAGCACCAAACTATCACCGATAACAACCCAAAGTGTTCAAAGTGTGTCATCGTTTTTGCAAGGTCGACCAATTTGGAAATACGAAAATGTCATCCCAATCAATTTTGATCGTCGTCTGCAAAGATAGAGACAGCTAGAGGAAGGAAAGTTTGCGGGTAGCTGAATAAGCCAAATGAATGAATGGTGACTCAGTTGATTTCGCACTACGAGTGTTGCCAACTATGTTCAAAATGTGCCGCAGTACTTTCGCTTGTGCCACCTGACCACACTCGTGAACGTGTCAACCATTTGTTTGCCGTGGCGTAAGAAACTTTCCGAAACGACCCACCTGCAGGGTGCAGTCAAGCCTTTGAATCTCTCGTCTACCACAGAGGAGGTGGATATTGCAGGTCGGAAGACTGTACGGAGGCGTGCCCGAGTGCCGCCCTTGAGGAGAGTGTCCTGGCTCGAACGAAAAAGGCGAGCGCAAACTTTCAACCAGGTGGATAGACATTCCGGAACGAGTCATACCAGGACCTCGTCTGGGACCCTGGCACTGGCATTGTTGGCATGTTGCCAACGAGACCGAGGATCTTCCTGCTCAGTTTAGGGTGCAATCAGACTGCCTCGACGAGACAGACGCGCCTTTCAGTCCATGCGTCTCGCTCGCTCGCTCGTTCGGATCTGTTCGCCTGCTGCTGGCTGGCGCCATGGATCTTCCCGGTCGGCACGCAGAGCAGAGGACCAAGAGTTCCAACGCAGAAGAACACATCGAGGCCCGAGATTCACGCCACGAACGATCTTCATCGACACCGGGATTCATTGCATTTCCATCATCATCATCATCATCATCGAGCAATGTGCGCCCCCCGCCCTCCCTCTCTCCCGAACGAGCACCGAGACCTCACTCCGAAGAAGAGCATGGCGCAGCACCGTCACGGATCCCGGCCGTCGGAGCAGTGCCCTCGGCGGATCACCTCTTTTCGCTCTTTGTCCCCGCCCTGTCCGTCCAGACTGTCCGCCTGCCTGCCTGCCCGCCCGCCCGCCCGCCCGAGGGGTGGGTGGCCCCCCGTGGGTCCGGCCCCGAGCCGAGCGCGACTCTCCTCCGTCCCGAACGAAGACACACAAGAGCGACTGCGGGGCCAGGGGGGGGCCCCGCGGGTGCTGGTGGTGGACCGGGCGCGAGGGGGCGACCTGGGACAGGGACAGGGACAGCAGAGTGCAGAGCGCGCAGGAGTACCGGTACCCTAGTGAGCGAGCGAGCGAGCGAGCGATCGATACAAATAGAACTGAGCGAATCGGGACATGTCCGGCTCCAGGCTCGCTCCCGCGCCGTCAGGGCTCGGCCAGAACACGTGGCAGGATAGTGTACTGTACCTTCGAGCCATGCCAGATGAGATGAGCGGAGAGAGGACGCACGCTGTACGAAGGATAAGAAAGAGTACGGGCCCGGCCACGGGAGTTCCCGCCCGCGTGACGGCGCTCCCCGCCCTTCCCCAGCCCCCGGAGCTCCGCCCGCCGGGACTTCCCGATGCCGGACGATGCATGGGATCTTCCCCCGCCTCCGGGCCGCGCCGCGACGCCAGACGTTACCGGGCCGCCCCCCCGCGCCCCCGTAGTAGTAGCCTCGTCCGCTGCTGCTGAGTTACCGATTTGCCCTACCCGCTGGTTCATGCAGAACCGGTATCATTGCGGTCACGCATGGAAATTTGACGAGGCCGGGAATTAGTAATATTTTAGCGAAGCGAGCGGGGGCCCCTATTCTACCTCGTCGGCCTGTAAGGAGGAGGAGGAGTGAATCCGGGTGTAACTCTGTGTGGGCTGCGAGAGCTGCTGAGAGCAAGTGACAGTGGCCGAGGGCGAGGCACAGTAGACAGCAGACCGATTCATTTCCGGCCGCGAGTAAAAAAGAAGGCTCTGGCACGAGGACGAAGAAGCAGAAGTAGAGAGAGAAAGAGAAGAGAGAGCTCGGTTGGGATCAAGAGAGGCCTCGAAGCCATCCATTCATTCATTCACCCACCCATCCATCATCATTATCGTGTCCAGGTCGGAACCGATAAATTTTCATCATCGTCGTCGTGTTTATGTCTTGGGAAAGTGTCCGTTTCTTTGCTCTCTCGTGGCTGTGTCGTCGTCGCGCTATCGGTGTGTGCACGAGCCGCATTGGCTGGCTGCCGGAACTCTGTCCCCTCCTGGCCCTGGCAATATTTCGTCGACCAGACTGTGTCGTCTGTGCAGCTTGAAACTCCGGGCCTCCGAGCGCGCCCGGTCGTTGCGACGAAGGAATTGAACGTAGTGGGCGCTAGAATTCCGGTTAAGGAACTGGGGCGGGGAGGGACAGGAAGAAACTGAAGAACAAGAAGACGGTAAGGACAGGCCAGGGCAAGGAAAGTGCGAGCTGTGAGGTAAGGCAAAGGAAACGTAGGTCTGGAGTCGCAGGACAGGAGCCATTGTGACAGGTGCAAGAAGAAGAAGAAGAAGGAACGAACGAACGACGGGAGCGCGAAGCGTTCAGGGCCGAGGAACGGGAAAGAAGGTGTTGACCAGTAGAAAACCCTAATTGGCGAGTTTTACAAAGGGAGGGAAAGAGTTGGACAGGGCGAAGGGTTGTAGCTTGATGAAACGGACTCTGGGAGAGGCCTGGAGCAGCAGGTAGGATTGAGGGGGAAAATTGGCTGCGGAATCCAGGGGAGACGCGGGCCGAGTTGGAGGACGAGGTCGACATTCTTGAGGGTTTTTGCGGATTAATTTTCGAGGGGTTTTTCGCGTAGAGGTTCAAGCGTTAGAGGAGGAGAGGGAAAAGAGAATTAGAGTTGCATGTTGATCAGGGAGGCTGGATTTCTTCTGGGACTCGCGGATGGATCCAAGACTGGATCACTCGAGGATGGACCCTCGAATGGATCCGAGGTTGGATCCGAGGATGGAGCCGAGGATGGATCCGAGGATGGACGCGAGAAGCATGGACCCTCGCCTCGAACAAAGAATGGATGGCAGGATGATGCAGCCTTCGGCTGACAATCGCTCTTTTGAGTTCGGATTCACCACAGCTGGTGGGCGGAGAGAGGTTCGGACTCTCGAGGATTTATTTCATGGTTATGGGGTCCGAATAGCCACGTTAGCCAAGATGACGGAGATGGGGTTCACTGTGAGCACACTGGTGAATATGACAGAAGCGGAGCTCGATGATGTTATACAAACCATCTCTGATATTTTGCAAATGGAGCTTTTGGTTGGAGAGCGGTACGGAATCAAGTCAGCAGTTAGAGCTGAGAAAAAGCATCTGGAGGAAGAGTTAGAGCGCCAACGATTAGAGCTGCTGACGAAAAGTGAACGGAAGCGCAAGCTCGACGAGGTGACAAGTGCCCTTGTGACCAAAGAAGGTGTGTTCCCAATTCTCGCCCACACCTTGAAGAAGCAAAAGATTTTTTCAAGGGTATCCCCAACGAGTTCGATGACTTTTGTGGGTGAAGGTTCGGGAGATGCCTCACCGGGTATGATAATTCCTTTCTTTAAATTTTATCTACTTCAGTGATCGAGCTGGTTACATCAAACATGATGAAAGAACGCAAGTGAGGGCGAGGCATCGAGCATTGCATGCTGCTTGGAATGGAAAGCCCCACAGGTCATTTTGTCTATATTTTATATTTGTGGAATATGCTTGAATATTTTTGGGACAATTTTCTAAATACATGTTCAGATAGGAGTGCATGTTTCTTTCCACAGTTGCCTGATGAGGAAATGTTTTAGAGGATTTTTCAACGCTTTTGAAGTTCTTGAAACTGCTTGACCGTTGCAAAGGCTTAATAGTGCGACTAGTAACGAGCGGATCATGAATTTAGCGTGCACGAAGTAGAAAGTGGACTACGGACCATGGAGAGACGAGGTTTTATCTAGATCTCAACCTGGACTTGAATGTCCTTCGTTCAACCTGTCCGTATATCGATATGCTCTTTTTCTTCTACCTGATTGGAGGTCATCAGTAGGGGAGAATTTGTGTTGGAGGATACAAGGGCATTCAAAAAGCAGGTGAAAGTTTTGCAAACACTACCACAAGCGTAGCTTCTGGCCCATCTTACAGAGGCGAATTGTCTGGAGATACGGACTAGCTTATGCTTGCATGGTTAGAACTCGAATTGCCTATCACTTGAGGCCAACGTCACAACTTGGGGTTGGAATCTGCGCAGGGCAGCATCGAGATTCTAGATTGTCTAGAGTTTTACAAGCAGGGCCGTTGGTGGCAATCTTTAGTGTTAGGCCTACTGATTTTAGCCGCAGGTACAGACAAATTCACGACTTGTACGGTTACTCGCTATTTACTCCTGAAAGCCTCCAGACGAGCCTTATCATTAGGAGAATCCTTCTACATTAGAGGCATTTTGGCAGTCCTCTTCCTTCTGCCCCACTATTCATCCCATCGTACGTGTGGTTTCCACTTCTGTCGAAGACTAGTAGCGTCAGCCAGTGTCTGGGGACTAATTTTGGGATTACTAGTAGCCTTACTCTCGGACTGGCGAAGGATGATCCTCGCTTACTCGCTTCCGCATCCGCTTGGATGTGAATGTAATACAAGATTTTAAATTGTTTGATTTCCTGTGAGTTACTTTTTCCTCACATTAGGTATGTGCTCTGGCATCCATTCTCTCTAGTGGTTTCCACACCCGGTTCCTCTCTTTGTTCGTCTATATATTACTCTTTTTGTTTTGATCTACAGATATTGCAGATTGTCTAGCAAAATTTTCACCTATTTTACGTTAACTCATGAAGTTTAGGATTCTTAATTGCTGTTCACCACACGAGGAATTGAACGTCGTTCGAACGTATCGTTATTTTAATCGAAGATCTGTATTACCAAGAGCTTCGAGACCGCATTTGTTGAGATCCTCAGATTTCAGGCTGAGTTGGGTGTTTCGTGAAATGAACCATCTTTTATCTTTGCCAAATCATGGTGGCATTCAGCTTTTTCTATTCGATAGGCGGTCAGAACCGGAGTATGCTTGTCTCAGTTGCACTGTATACTTCACGTTCATGCTTGCTACATGAACAACTACATGTTTGAACTGCTGGTGTTGTATTGTGAGACGAATCACGCACGACACTTTGTGGTAGACATGGTTTATAATTTACACTGGCAGTTGCCGATCAGTGCCAACAAGTACTTGCTTTAAATAATGGAGTCTACCACATCGACTTTACTACATACGTGGTACGTGAAAGATAATACACAGAATTTAGTTTTAACACAAGTGAAGATAGAAACGGGGTCAATATTATTCCAAAAGTTGGTTGGACGGGATTCGTTTGTATATTATCAGTTAATTTTTCTCAAGGAAGTCTCCAATTTGTCACGGTTCCTTTCGTTTCGTTCTGGACCTTTTTCTGTGCGTTACTCTACTCAAATCTCCCTCTTTACCAGTCGTTCTCGTTCTCCACAGGTTACTCACCATTCTTTACCAACGATACTCACCTTGAACTTACGCAAATGTAAATTGTTGCTACATACACGGTTTTCCCTATTTAAGCCGCCTAAGTTTGGCCCAGTATTTACCGCTTTGCTGGTCTGTCAATGTTTTTTGCTTTACGCCCACTGGTATGACTGGATTGTTGGTACAGTTTCCCGATGCGCGAGTTATGCACGTCGTTTCACATGCTTTGATGATGGTTACTGTAAGTATACTCCAGCGAAGGGAGTTGATGCCGTTGTTGGCAGGTTAGGACATGAAGACTAGTCTGTTGGTGAGTTGTTGCTGGAGAACAGTGGCCCTGTTTAAGCCTCTAAACTGTACATGTGTTTGTATATTCGAAAATCTGATACAAGCGCGGGTAGTAACAGCAAGTTGTATGGATGCTCTCTCCGTGAAACTTCATATTTACGCCTTGATCCCATCACAGATCATCGCGAAGACTTTCCTTGTGCAGAGTTTTCGATTAATTTTGTTACTTGTACACTTCGTTTCGTAGTACGCTCTCTTCCAAACAAATAGAAGAGGGTCCTTAATGAGGTGAAAATGATTTCAAGTACTGCTGCCTGTTGATCATAATTTCCTGGTAGATTTCCATGCGACCTTAGCATTTTAATTGTGTTCCAAAAGGGTAAAATCATCCGCCAATTGATACCTATGCCTATTTTTCGTTCATCCTATATCAAAAGTAAGTAGCAGGAGTTTCTCGATCAACATCAAATGAGCTTAGCGAGATGGTAGAGTTCATGACTATCGAGATGCGAGTGTAGTTACCGCAGTCGCAGTATTAATGCAAGCTTGAAATGGCCCGACTGATGATTGAACTTGTTTTGGTGATCTGCAGTGGGGATTTATATGGGGATTTAGCTCTCAATCCACATAATTTACAGTGTGATACGAAAGCACTTTGGCATATTTAGTAGTTCTAGCTAATATCAACATCAGAGTAATAACATCTGTTCTTAAGACGAGAACACACTAGTAACGACATTCCGAGTATCTGTCTATTGCTCTGCACTTTGCACTCAAAAGGTACACCTACCTCGGTCCGACGATCGGTGGTGTTGATCACGGACGTATAGTTTCGGGTTTCAAAGGGATACAGTACGTTATGTCCAGCCTTTTACTCGTCTCTTTTTTATGATGCCTTTCTTATTTTGGTACGCATATTGCTGCTGACAGAATTCCATGCTTTTCCTTCCCTACCCTGCCCTCTGCTACTGGCTTATGGATGTACTGCTATAATTTCCTACCAAAAATCTTTCTATGAACGCGGTCTTCCGTGAGAGAGTCTTAATTTTGTCATCAAAGTGACTGTATTGCAGAGTCCTGCATTGGGCTTCAAAACTTTACCCATACCCAACCCATACCCATACACATGAGTGTGTCAACTGTAACCACCCATTAGACACCCATGGCAACTTTTCCATACCCATTACCCACCCAGTACCCATCCATGGCACCTTGTCCATACCCAACGCATACCCATGAGTCCACCACCATTTGGTTTCAGTTAATCCGAGAGGTCTTAATTACACTTAATCCGAGAGTTCAGTCTAAGTCATACCCATCCATTACCCACCCATTCCTTTTACCCACCCATTACCCACCCATTCATCCTAGGCTAGAGTTGGAGTCACTCCCTCAAAGGGCACGCCCGGGGCGAGGGCAAGGGCACGGGGGCATGCCTACTTCGCATTTTCCATATGAGGCATGCATGTATGTATAAACAGATTTAGACGTATATTCTAGAGTTATAGACGTATATTTAGAGTTATAGACTGTGGGATAAGTGAGGAAATAAAACTGTTTTCACTTGGAGATTCTGCTCTAGTTTGTTCTGGGTTTTAAGCTTTCATTTTTGTGTTGATTTATCCTACTTAGTGCTTTATTTCCATAGAATTATATTTTCTGATACGATCAAATGTACGTATTGAAATACGGGCATGCCTGGGGGCATGGGGCATGCCTTTTGATCTTGAAAGGGGGCATGGGCATGCCCCGAAAAATTTTGTTGTGCCTCCAATCCTAATCCTAGCCCATACCCATTACCCACCCATTTACCCATGGGCATGGGTGGGTATTGGGTACCCATTGCAGGACTCTGCTGTGTTTTATAGCACTTATCTGTCGTTTAGTAGACGCCATCTTAGTTCCTGACCTCCATTTGTAATGTTTTTCAATACATTATGATAAAGGAGCGCTGGATGTGGTAACCACTTGAATATCGGATGGAATTTAACACTTCTGCTCAAGAGTTATTTGGTTGATGAGGTTATATACTCCATGTTCTCTTTAGAACTGCTCCTGGAACAAGTTGAACCTTTGTCGTTTAGACCATGTACCAGGAACTCTTGGATCATATTTCCTCACATTAGGTTATTGTATAGTTCGTCACTCTGCTGAAGTTGAAGTCTTGAACAGGGAGTAGATCCCTCATGGTCAAGAAGAATCAGATGAGCACCCATAGTTCAAAGTACTGTGTTACCATGGTCCGGATCAGACTGTTCTGGTTCCGTCTTTGTACAGGCGCACGGTGAGTCATGAACGGTTCCGTGCCGGAACTGTTCATGACACAGGCGGTTTCAGTTCTTAGGAATCACGTCTATTAACCCAGCAGGGTTGGCAGACAATCTGGGCATGAGAGGGAAATAGCAACCTTGGTTCGAACAAACCAAATCGCAAGCTATAACTTGCAGAGCAGGCTGCATACCTGTTATATCTTCAACGGCGCTTTCTTGGATATATCTCCAAGCGCATGAAGTTGAATACGAGCGTCGTTTTCATCAATTATTCTTAAATCACAAGGCTATCCTGGTGCACGTTACCTAAGAGCCCTGAGCTCATGTGGCCAATTATTACAGCGTGTGTGTGGGACGTAATTGTTTTACTCTGAAAGCGGAGCATCACCTGAATTCTGCGACAGAATAAACCGGCAGTATGTGTGTGCGCATCGCTTGAACCGCTCCGTGTCATTGCTAGAACGGTGAATATTAGTAGTTGAATTGACCACACTCCTTACTATTTGGACAGTCAGCATGGTGTTGGAAGTTCAACTTTTTGACACTATCTTTTGGTTGTTTCTTTGTACTCTCGGAGTCCATCTTTATCACAATGAGTTGATCTCATTCTTATCAGTTCTTTTGATATGAAACAAATAAGTTCTTAGTATGCCACCTTAAACACTTATTATTTTTCTAATTCGGTGCTATTAAGGCTGGTGAGCGTACACATTTGGTCTGCCTGCCCTTGAGGAAATAGAGTTCGTGCTACTGTTATAGTTGATTTTGCGCACTGATAAGAAACGTGTGGGATATTTTGATTTTTCATGATCGTATTAGACATTATTGTTTCTCCTACTCCGATTGTGATCATCGTTTGTGGTGACATTGATCGTGGTAATTATGCTTACGTCTATTACATTTCTATGAGGAAAGTTGCCACAAAGCACAGTGGAGGGAAGGTCATGCCAGACAACAAATTGCAGTACTTGCGTTCATGCTCAGCCTTTTGAGAGTTGACTCTTTTTCAACCTGCTGTAGTCTGCTTCCCGAGCCTCTGTGTCTCGACTAGTCTTTGTCTCTGCGTGAAGGTTCTTTGATATTTAGCCCCAGGAATGTTAAAGTTTAGGTCCTCTTTGTATCTGAATGCAGGTACCGTAAGCGAGCAAAGGCGGGAAAGTGCGATGATGATGCCGGAATCTATTGCCCCTGTCAACGCCCTGAACTTGAACAGTAAGGAGCCACCTCTTCTCATGGGAGCAGGGCATAGTTCCCTTACTCCAGGTCTTCTCGCACTTGCAGAAAACAGCAGTGATAGTGAAGACAAGCGGTTAGGGAAGAAGAAGCAGAAACGGCGGAGACCAAAAGAGCATGGAGAGGATGGAGAGGATAGGCCTCGGGAGCATCCATTTATTGTCACAGAACCTGGGGAAGCTGCAAGGGGGAAGAAGAATGGATTGGATTACCTCTTTGATCTCTATGAACAGTGTGGGAAGTTTCTGGAGCAAGTGCAACAACTTGCAAGGGAAAAAGGAGAAAAATGCCCAACAAAGGTAGTAATGAACGTTCATTATGCACATGCTCGATGTTTGGATTGTGCGGTTGTACTACTTGGACGAAGAGTACCAGTTCGTGCACCTTGAACCTGTGCTTCTTGTCAGTTACCATCAGTTTGCTTCGCGACATGTACAAACGTCGATTTGGATAATCTTATCTTCCCATGTACCGGCCTTTTTCATAATTACGAGTAGGGCCTGATCTAGAGATGATATACTTCATTAATGCGCAGGTGACGAATCAGGTCTTTCGGCATGCGAAACACACAGGAGCAGGTTATATCAACAAACCCAAAATGCGGCACTATGTGCACTGTTATGCTCTACATTGCTTGGATATTGATCAGTCCAATGCGCTCCGGAAACTGTACAAAGAAAGAGGGGAGAACGTCGGGGCTTGGCGTGGTGCTTGTTACTACCCTTTGGTAGCCATGGCTCGAGACAATAATTGGGATATTGAGGGTCTATTTAACAGAAATGAGAAGTTACGAATATGGTATGTCCCGACTAAACTCAGGCAGCTTTGCCATGTAGAGAAGGTTAAATATGGCGAGTAGAAGAGTGTAACGAATTTTAGCCGGTTAGCTGCAACAGTTACGTAGATAGTGGACAATGCCTTCAGTCACGCATGGCATAGTTTGTTCGGTCCACAAAGGGTAGGATTCAGGATTAATTTTGTGCCATAGTTTTTACCCTTTGAATGTAACTTACAACAATGTGTGACGATCATCTTGGCTTGGAAAGATCCATACCAATGTTTTGTGAAATTCAGTAGATTCAGAAAAGTACTCTCTTTGGCGCAGTCTCCTACCAGGAAGGAAAACTTACGTTAGTCTCAACCTTCAGAGATACTTTCAGTCAAGTGTGACTCTCGCATTAAATGCGAGAGCAGCAAATTGGCAGTTTTCAGAGAGTTATGGCTAGAAGAGATACAAACTCATCTTTCATGTAAAGTTTCAAAAGAGGTCCAAGAATGAACTTTTTGGTCAAATGGTGTGATGCCGATCCTTTGAGATTTGTGGATTAGCGTTGTGGACATGCTTGTAACTACATCAGCACTGCCAAGTACGCGCGAAGCCAGATGCAATTTGGTTGTCGTTACTGAAGAAAGTGGTAAGTACGGAAGGACATCTGCGTTCTGTTCACCAGGATGAGAAATGTAACGTCTTCTTGCTTGTATTGTAGTCTCTGGCTCTGGACTACTTTCTCCTTTGTGCTGCTAATTGTCTCTTCTGTTTTCCGGGAAGAGGGCAGCCATGCTTGAAATCAGGTCTGACGCAAAAATGTGGCGATGTTTCACTGTGAAGGTTCGAGGATCTGCCAGTTTGAGTTGGAAACTCTTCCTACCTAAGACTTGCGAAATATTTGGTGTGTTATATACTGACTTCCAAGTGGGTGTGTTTGTGAACTTCAGAATATGAAGGCCAAACGTAAGTTGGCCTCAGATGCAACACAGCAGCAAGAGATAGCTGATTGGTTCATTATGCCCACGGAGTATCCTTAAGATTGGGAGCAAGATTGAGATCTGACCTTTCCTCCAAGATATCGCAGATGGTTGTATTTTGCTGCGGTGTCCATGGAACGGTTTCATTGAGTTCGGCCCATGTTCTCTCAGTTTATTATCTCTCCTTAGTAAACGTCTCAGTAAGCCTCTTTCTGTGATAGCGGACCTTGGCGCAAAGTACACTGCAGTGTTGTTGATGTCAAGTTAGACGAGTTTTGGGATCCTATGAGAGTGTAATTGCTCTTTTCGAAAGCAGTGGACGTATATTCGAGAAATCATAGCATAGGTTCCTTCTGTTGCATAAAATTTGAGGCTGATCAGTGCCCTAGTAGGATCATTATTGAACCTTGTAGAAGTTGGCAGTTTAGATAGATCAGGGTGAAGAGGTGTGGTGTGTCCATGCACCTGTTGCCGTTTGTAAAGAGAATGACCATCTACATCTATCAAGGCCTTGGAAGGCTTTTCAGCACTGCTGGATGTCGTTCTTTGCGTCCTTTACCATTGGAGGTGGAATACGAGCCTAGCAGTCTTCTCTTGAGAAATTCCATCAAACAGTGGACTTTTGTGAATCCCTGGATTGCAGTTGGGTTCGATTGGAACGAAGTGTGAAGCATACGTTCACCTGCATGACATTGATGAGATTCCAGATTTTCTGTACAGCTTCAAGCACCGCTGTCCATGTGCTCGCAGATATCCATCTCGATGTGGCTTCGTCCCCTGCCTGATCTACGCGCACCCGCTCTCCAGCTCCACCTGCGGCCCATGGGTCAACGAAAGCAATGCCCCGCACATACAACGAAACCGAACAACGCCCCGGGGCGCTCCCCGGAGATGACCATGGGAAACGTCCCAGCTCCGGACCGCGTGCGAACTAAAATTACACTCGAGCACGCAACACGAGCGCAGCTGGCGCCGCTAATCTCAGCCCCTGGCCTCGCGCGCCGCTTCCCCGCACGCAGTGGGGAGGGAATGACGGAAAGGCGAGCGAGGGATCCATCACGCCGAGACTCTTGGAGCTCAAGACATGAAATGAGCTCAAAAGGGCCGGGCACGGCAAGTGACCACATTCCCCAGTGCGGGCCCTCGTGGACCAGGGACGCAGGACCAATGACCGGTTGGCACGAACTCGTCGAGGCGTCGAAAGAGCAGGGCGTCGTGCACGAGTCATTTCGGACCCCTGACCTTCGTCGCAAGCATTTGGACAGCTCACTGGACCCTCCACATGGACTCCCCATCGTGCTGATCCCGGTGCCCAATTCGCCGCGACCCTCCGCACGCTCTTGAACACTTGCTCACACTGCCAGTCATGGATAGGATGGGTTGACCGACCGGTCCAGGCTGCGGTCCACCGGGTCTTCCTTTCCCTAGCCCTCGGGAGGTTAGGGTTCCATGCCAACCGAGTCCGAGGGACTGTTCCGTTTGGAAGGAAGGGGTACTTGCCACGCCGCATAACGCTGACGGAAGTACAAGCTACTCCTTCGCGGCTAATGACGGACGGACAGACGGTAAGGACGGAGAGGACGTAGATGGAACTGGACGCGAGTTTCTATGTTCTCTTTTCGAAAAAGGGAGAGAGAGAGAGAGCTCTCTCGACGGTGGCGGGACCCACCGAAGGGGGCCTTCTGCGTCAGCGTCTGGTGTGCGTTCGGACAAGAGGATGAGGATGGGCCCACGGGCATACTCATCGCATGTCCCTCTCCGAGGGCAAGGGCCAGGGCCAGCCTTACCATCTCTCGGTCCTCTAGTCCGTGAGCGGGTCTAAATTCTTTGTCGATCCTGGTGGATTGGCCTCCTCTCTAGAGCTTTGTATGCAAGTTCACTTTTGTCCTTAAAAAATTAAACCATTTCGTGCGAGCAAACTCCGTGCACACGAAGGAGAGAGAGAGGTTGAAGAAAAAGATATATTATTCATATATATAAACGATTATCTCAAGCGTGTAAAGAGAAGGAGAAAAGACCGCTTAGAAGTTCGGGATTCCATTCCGTGGAATATTACAGGTATACAGTTTTCCACGCTTTGAGACGTTCCTACACATGCAATAAATTCTATTTGAGGAATAAGACGCACCAATACCACTTTAGACTGTTAGAAAGGGATAAACTATATCTTCCTTGTTGCAGATACTCCTTTTTATATAACGTTTTTCTTTAAATGATTTATGATGGTCATTAGGGTTCGTGATTTGTCGCCCCAGAGAGATTTGTGGATCCCCGTAATCTTAGTGGGCAGAGTTCCAATTTGCTGCCTATAAATCTCCAGCCGTTTTTGGGGATAGGTTATTTACATTCTGGATGAAAAGGTAATCCATGAGTCATGGAGCTATGTACCCGCTTTGACATGTTCCAAGAGAGAACAAATAAGTTTTATAGACCATGCGTTCAATTTTTATAGACCATGTGAAAAAGATTAAGTTTCTTTGAATTATCGTGTAAAATATATCTGGCAACATGTTTCAATTAATCAAAAGCTATTGTTTAAAATACAAGGAAGATCATGAGAGAAGATGAATCTTTTAATGCTGTAATAAATTTGGACCCTTAAACTAGATAATAAGTACAACATATGCACAACATTATATGTTTTTTGTTGTGACCCTGTTGGGACTAGTCACTCCTTACCCATCTGGTTTCAATCGTGTAGGGCTTGATGGGTCTTCATATACTTTTGCTTTATACGTGTGAATATGTCGTTGAGACTGGTAGCATGAGCGTGAGGTTACCTTAACTGGCCAAGTTTACTTTGTTTTCGATTTATCTCTCTTCTTTGTCCCCGTGAGATTGGTAGCTAGTGTTGGAGTCACAACAAAATTTTTCAATCATGCCCCATGCCATGCCCATATTAGAAAAAGTATCACTCAGTATAAAATCCCAAACTAAACAAAACAATCGAACCAGAAATACCTTTCGTACATTGAAACTGCAATCATGTGACTTTCAACCTATAGACCACTGTCTATAATTTGCTAGTTTTAGTTAATTTAGGGTTAATTAATCTTCACTCTAGTATCCCTAGTTCTCTTATTGGTATTGTAATGCAATAGCATATACAATACCAATAGGAGGTTCAACCAATCATATAGTAGGATGACGGCTAATTAACCCTAAGGGAATGATAACTAGCCATTCCTTTCTAAAATATACATATAAACTTTTTCATACATACAAGCATGTCTCATATAAAAATGCAAATGAATCATGTGCTCTGAGTTTGTGACTCCAATGCTATTGGTAGCTAATTCCAATGAGGCTCATATGGCCAAGTTTGCTTTGTTGTGGGTTTCTAAACATTGGTGATGTCTAAAAGTAGTGATCATCTCGGTCAATGCCTCGTGATCTTAGCTCACATTAATAGAATCATCGACAATGATTAGGCCTCTGCTAACTTGGCATTTTCCAAATCTATCATAAACTACTCTATCATGACATCACCAGAATTTTATTTATGACAAATATGAGCACATATGATGGTGTTCATATTTGTCACAAACAGTTAAAGGAAAGTTATAGTAACAATGCACTAGTAACAATGCACAATAACTATTGGGATCAATGAAAATAAAGCAATCCATCACATGACACTTGGTTTCAAATCAAAATTTTTCTGATCTATGTATTCAACAGTACGGCAACGATGAGTTGAAAACCAAGGTAATACTTTCCCCAACGATAACCAGCGAGTAGTTGCAACCTTTGGACACTTAGATTGCATTTCACTGATCAAATTCTGCTGTCGACGAAGGTATCCGATGATGACAGTTAATGTCGAGTGAAATTCTTTCTTGAGATAATCTGAAATAACAATATGAACAACAAGATCAAGTTGGTGTGCACCACACCAAAATCGAATCAAGTAACAACCTTCCTGATCAACTCGAGTGGAGACACGAGTCACTACTTCACGTACTCGACCTGTCATGTTTATGGCACCATCAGAGCATGTCAATAAGAGTGTGTATACCCAAGATGGACAAATTGCATCCATAACTTTCTCAAACGTCTAAAACAAGTTGTCACCTGTGTGTTGTACGTAAAGAGGAAGACAACATAAATGAAAACAATACACCCTAGTTACTACAACAAACCTCACTTTAACGTCAAAATATGAGGTGATTTCAACAGTCGATGAAAATGCGACACAAAAGGCCCAACAATCAACAAGTATTTGCTGAGTTTTTGAAAGCAAACAACAGTAGCAACCCGAACAAACAATGATACTTTGGCCTCATTGCATCCACCAAGATAACCGAGAATTATTTCTTCACTTTCACACTCCACTTGACGCGCTGTTAATCTGAACGAGTAGCCAAGACCAACCATTTCAATAACAAGCTTGAAAAGCTTGATGTTCTTGATATGAACTTGATACCCTACAATCACACTGTCAGATTTGATTGGCTCAAAAAATCTCAACGCTCGATCAATACAAACGTCCGCAAATTCGGGATCAAACAGAAGTGTACGCAGAATTATATCAACGATGTTTA